AGCTCACGGGCAGCGGGTCGCCACCCGTGTCCTCCGGGGCGAGAAAAGCTTCTCCCGGTCTCCCTAGTCTGCTGGGGGGTCCAGAAAAGCCGCTGGACCCCCCCAGCAGACCAGGGACACCAGAGCAAAGCCGCCGCCTGGGCGGCTTTGCTTGTTTGCCCGGGAGCAAAGCCGCCCAGGCAGCGGAACCCCCAGGCGGCGGCTTTGCTCGGGTGTCCCTGGCCTGCTGGGGGGGTCCAGCAGCTTTGCTGGATCCCCCCAGCAGACCAGGGAGACCGGGAGAAGCTTTTCTCACCCCGGAGGACACGGGTGGCGACCCGCCGCCCGTGAGCTCCGGGGCGAGAAAAGCCCCGTTCGTAAGTGCGGATCCGACATAAGTCGGATCCGTGTAAGTCGGGGACTGCCTGTACTCATTTAAAATAACTTTCTGTTTTGCTTCCTTTCCAATTTTCAGTGTTGTCACTTGTCTGTGGCTTTGTTTGCTGTCTGTTGCTTTATTAATTTTTTACTATTCTATATGTGTGCAGTATTCATCATATTAAGAGTTGATATCTCAGAGAAATTGTACACATCTGAGTGCCTTTACAATTCTACTTTCTAGTATCAGAAGAAATTATATCAATATTTGTGACGAAAGCATGGATATTTCTAGTTGTCTCAGATTTGTATAGCATCCTAAAGCTGAGCTGTGTGTAGATAATGTGTGCACGAGGGATAATCCATACCATGCTAGTGTTTTGGCATATGCTTCATTTTTTTGTGAGCTGCTTTCCCGAAGATTTAGTGGTCAGATTCTATGGTAGGAATAGGCTATTAAACTGGCCTCTGATGCATATTTTTATGCTTTTACTTAATGGACATGATTTTATTTTATTTATAGAACTATTTTTAATATGCCCCATTTTGGTATGTTTACTAGCTTGAGTTTGTTAGAAAGGATCATGAAATACAAATATTTAAAGGACAGTGTTAAGATATTTAATATGCAATCAAAAAAATTAAGCAGTGCAGCTTGTTAATTATCCCTTTTAATATATTTGTTATCTTCTGTACCTATGAACTGTTAAAATATGCATTGTATTAAGGGTTTTTTTTGGACTGGTGACACACATCCAATATTGGTGCTGTATATATGAAAATTCAACCCACACATGATGGAAAATTTTAGAGGATACATTGTTCAGGGCTCCTGCACCTAAGTTGTATGGGGGGTAGGAAGACTGTCAGTAAAGTAGGGAAGCGTAAATGACTGTTCCCAATTTTTTCTGATCTCCTTTTCATATCTAGTGTGGCTGATGATAAATTATATTCCTCTGAATTTCTAACCTGGTGGGGCCTCTGCTGCCAGCCGATCAGTGAGGTGGTCAGGCTGCACCTGAATAAATTTCTATCACACACTGATTCTCGCTGCCTCCAGTATTGACATGGAACTGTATTTTACATGGATTCAGATTAGATTTTTATCATGTTGTGCAGTCTTAAAGTGGAGGGGGAGATGATATACACATACGGGAAGGAGCTGGGCTTGAAGTTTGTTTCTTTACACACACTATTTTTCCTTGCAGTGTCAGAGCAGCAGGAGAGAGCTTTTACGTTGGGGCTGGCAGGACTCCTAGGAGAAGGCGTTTATAACTTTGGGGAATTGGTAAGTAGACTCTGGGTTGCCTCAGCTGTCAAATGGTGAAAATTGGTCATAGCTTGTCAGTAACATTGTTCTGCCTGATTTCACAGCTCATGCACCCTGTTTTGGAGTCCTTGAGAAACACTGACAGACAGTGGCTGATTGACACGCTTTATGCCTTCAACAGTGGCAATGTAGAGAAATTCCAGGCTCTGAAGACAGCCTGGGGCCAGCAGGTGAGTGAGGTGGGAAACACAACACAACCTCATAGTGCCCTGATAGATGGACAGACATCTGTTAGTATAATAAAATACTGTGGCAGTACAAAGGGACAGAGTTAAAGATAACATGGAACCCATAACTCTGGTTTCCTGACTTCAGTACATGTAAAATCTCAACCATTACTTTTCTAGCAGCACCTTCCCACTATAAGTAGATTGACTGAAATGAATATAAAGGTGGGAAGAAAGAAGAAACAAGACCAGCAGATTTTCATGGGTCTGCTGGGGCCCTTGTGCCAATCCAGTGTGCTAAGGAGACCCCCTGAATATCATGAAGGAACTGTGGAAACCACTAAAGAGAGTGCCTCTCACATGCCCAAAATTCTTGCAAAGTAATGATTGTCAATATTAATATTCAGTGCTTATGCAGAAAACTATCAATATAGCCAGTGCTCTTTTTGTGTGTGTTTTAAACAAAATGGGGCTGGTACTCCAGGGGAAAGGTTGTTGAGCTCTGACTGGAGGTGCCAGTACTGTGTACCAGGCAGTATCATCACAAAAAAGCACTGAATTTAGCAATAGCTCCCAGAGATCTCTATTTTCCACCTAGACATCCCTCAGCTAAGGACCATGATTTTATGTATCATACAGAGGATGGCATCTAACAGTATACTACTTCCTTGTTAGCATTCTATGGAGTGGTCAGCTAGTATGGGTTTGAATCTAGGGCTTTTTGGCACCAGAACCAAGACAGATCAGAGCGTATTTATCCTCTGTGAGACTCATTTATGGTGTACAGGATATAGGAGGGGGGAACCCTTTATTCTTTAATGTGTTTGTTATTTCACAGCCAGATCTGGCTGCAAATGAAGCACTTCTCCTGCAGAAGATCCAGCTGCTGTGCCTCATGGAGGTAAGCTGCTAGTTGAAACCCTGAAAGAGCACCTCATTTGTCAATTGTATGGGCCTAGATGATGTCCCTATGATTAACTTTCCTGTAGTGTTCAAGTAGGTTCTGTTTGAGTTGAGAGCAATATGCATGGTGCTTTCAGTCTACGTGCTATTTTACATAGTTGCTCTTTAGATACAAATCACTAATGGTGTCATTACATTATTTTGCCTATTGATGGTGCTCAAAGACAAATGTTGGTGGAAGAAAGTGTTAGTGGACATTGAGACCGCAAGAGCTTAAAAAGGTTATGTTTCTAGAGACCGCATCTAAAAGGATGGTTCTTAAAGTATGTTCTCACATAATGTTAGAACTGCCTAAAACAGCCTTCATTCTAATTCTTTAGCATCTAAAACACAGAAATGCTTGTCCTGGCATTCCTTTTAATTACAAGGCCTGGTTTCACTGTCCCCAGTGGGTATGCAGAGTCTCATGACATTAATTATCTCTGACTCTACTCTCAAAAGGGCTGCATCTAGACTGGTAATTTTTTCCGCAAAGCCAGCTGCTTTTGCATTAAAACTTGCCAGCTGTCTACACTTGCCGCTTGAATTTGTGAAAGAATGCTGACGATCTAATGTGCGATTGTCCGTGTTCTTGCGCAAATACTATGCTGCTCCCGTTCAGGAAAAAAGCCCTCTTGCGCAAATGTATTTGCGCAAGAGGGCCAATGTAGACCGCTAAAAACTGTTTTGTGCAAAAAAGCCCCGATGGCGAAAATGGAGATCGGGGCTTTCTTGCGCAAAACCGCATCTAGATTGGCACGGACGCTTTTCCACAAAAAGTGCTTTTGCGCAAAAGCGTCCGTGCCAATCTAGACGCTCTTTTCTGCAAATGCTTTTAACAGGAAAAACTTTTCCATTAAAAGCATTTGCAGAAAATCATGCCAGTGTAGATGTAGCCAGGGTGCTTAGTTGTTTTACACACAAAGTGCTTAATTGTGAGATGGTCTTGTGGCCCTTAAGCTCTTGTTGTGCCAATAACATGACGTGCATGGAGAAATTCCATCTTCAGGATTAGAACCTACTTTGTCTTTGAAGGATTATTTCCTAGGGAGCCTACTATTTGGAGAGGTAGGTAGGGAAAACTGACTTCTACTTACATTAGCATCTTCAATAAAGCAGTCTTAAAAAATAGATGGAGAACTAGCTGCTGTTGGCCCTTTGTTATCAGAGCCTCTGATTTTCACAGGTAGTGATGTTTGATTCTGTGGCTCCATCCACAGTAGAATAAAAGACCTGCAGCATGACTGTGACTGGCCTAAAAATCAGCTCATTTGTGCTAAAAAAATGCTGTGCAGATGTTTGGGCTCAGGTTGGATTCTGGGCTATGAAATGCTCCCCCCTTGCAAAACATCCAAACATCTGCATAATCTTCATAGGCCCCCAGAGTAAAAGTCAATTTACTGTGGGTATTTAATTGCTGTGTTGACATACTCTGTGGCTTTTGTGTGACAGTTTTAAGGAGACACCATGGGAAAAGAAATCATAAAAACACTGACTTTCTGCTTGCATTTAGATGACTTTCACTCGACCAGCCAATCACAGACAGCTCACTTTTGAAGAGATTGCTAAAAGTGCCAAAGTCACCGTGAATGAGGTATGTTGAGTTAATGTTTTAATTAAGATGATGATGACAATAAGTAACTTGAATGTGTGGTTTCTAACTGTATCTGCTGAACAGATTTGTTTCTATATATCATATATATAGTAGCCCAATGTCTGTGACTCTAATGCTGAAATGCTGGCTGTTCTCTCTGGGCAGCGCTGTTGCTTCCCTCCGTGGTGCTCAGCTGACTTATGCACCACTCAGCCAGGCCTCCACGGGGGAGCAAGCAGCTGTTTGGGCACCGCGGTCCTCGTGGAACACACTCCTCTCCCACCCACCCCCGGGGGCGCGGGGCCCGGCCCAGCCACTTGCACCGCTTGCTGCCCCACGGCGGCCCGGCTGAGTGGCACAGAAGTCAGCCAAGCTCCACAGCGGGAGGCAATGGGGGGCGGGGTGCTGACGTACACTGCCAGGGGGCGGGTCCCGGAGCCTCCATGTCCTTATTGTGCTGACGTCTGGTCCAACCAGCCCGGGAAAGTTCTCAACCTGGAGAGGGCCTGGGAGGGAGGCGCGGGCTGGAGGAGCTTTAAGGGGAAAGTGCCGCTTCTCTCTAGCCGCCTGCTCCTTGGCTGCCCCCTGCTCAGTTCTCCAGTCGGCACCTATGAGTGGGGGCTGGGTGCTGAGTCTGGCCAGGGGGAGAGGGCGGGGGGGGGGGGGAAGGGGGGGAACAACTTGCAGGATCAGTGCTGGGGTGAAGAGAAAAGGTGCAGGGGTGCAGCTGGAGCTCATAGATAGCTGCTCAGCCGGGCTGCTGCGCAGGAGCAAGCAGTGCAAACAACTGTTTGGGCTCCGCGCTCCCCATGCAGGAGGGGGAGAAGCGAGAGAGAGTGAGTGAGTGAGAGGCCTGAAAATCCCATTTTATGATGGGCTAATTGGCTAGTTGTAAAATAGTGGGGGAATAAACACACTGCATTAATGTTTGCAAATTAATTGTGAAGAATCCTCTGGTGTAGAGGAAAAATGAATTGCCATCTCCTGCCCTCTGTCTGATACAGGTGACTCTTGTGTTCCTTAGTAGAACAAGTTCACACTGTTTGGATTCCTGTGGATCCAGATGTTTGTATAGACTGTTGCCCAAATTACAACAGCTCACTCTGACCAAACATAGTTGTCTTGTGCCACTCTTCAGTTTCATTTTGTGGTATGGTGAACAGTAATATAATGCTTGGGTTATAAAATTACCCGTTAAAATAATTGGGAATCTTTGGAAAGAACAAGTGATTCATAATCCCTTTCTTCCTCTCTTCAGGTGGAACTGCTGGTGATGAAAGCTCTCTCAGTAGGGTTAGTAAAGGGCAGTATTGATGAAGTGGATAAGAAAGTGCACATGACCTGGGTCCAACCTCGTGTGCTGGATTTGCAGCAGGTAATGTCGGCTGATATACTTAATCAATGGTATTTCACCTTTCTTTCCCTCTGATTGGCCTGAATACTGACATGAGCTGTTAATAAGATTGTAATTCTTAGATCTTGGCTCTGCCCATTTCTTGTAGTGGTTTGAAGAAGAGAGTTAGTAAAGATTCCCCCTCTACAGGAGAGCACTCTTTGAAAAGTTCTACCACAGTGTTCAACCTTTACGAATAACAAGATGTTGGTTTCAACCCAGATAACCATAATGGAGCTTTGCCATTGTACTCGCCAGCCTTCCTTGGGAACCTGATGGATGTAATAAGTGTCTGAGATTCTGAGATTAGGGCCACACAAACAATACATGCATCGGGTGTGTGTGTAAATTTACAAAAATGTGGGTTAATGTACCAAATTTAAATGTAATAAAATGAAAACTTAGTTTCAAGTTAATAACTATGCCATGTTGCATATCCTCTACATCTGAAAACTTGCCTCTAACAAGGATTGACTTGGGAAGAAAGTTTGACGACTATTTAGCTCTTCAGAGTTGGTACCTTATCGCTTGAAGCCTATGAGATAGTAGCACATGCTATAGGAAACAATCCTGCCTGGATAGGGGATGGGCTAGAAGACCATATGTCTGTACCCTCTCACTTCTATGAGTAATTAGTTTTTCTCATAATGAATGTGTTAAGAGAAATTAAGAACTCTTTTAATAGCTTCTCCTAGGTATAAAAACCCTTAAGCCATGAAAAATACTTGGTTGAAGCGAGGAAAATATAATGTTTGACTTTGCTTTGAGTGGAACTGAAATGCACATTGCTGATCTGATGGACTGCTTCATTTTATAAAACTTAAAATGATTCTCCTTTAAAATTGTATCCCTTATTTCTCTTTATTTTCTAAATCCTTTCTTGGAAACCCACATACTTCAGATCTTGGAGTCCCATCACACCATATCTTGAGGTCAAGTTTGGGATATTAATGTTGATTTGGTTTCATTCTTGGTAATCCTTTTCCTTGGGTACTGTCTCTAATTAGCCATGTTGGCTTTCATGTTCCATCTCCAAATGCAGAGGACATGGTGAGAAATGTTCTTCTCCAGTTTAGTTGAATTCAGTGTGCAGCATTCCCAGTCTCACTTCAGTGCTCATTCCTGGCTAGGCGCACCTACTTTCCCTTTCCCTTAAAGGTTGTTGTGCATTTGCTTTCCAGATCAAGGGGATGAAGGACCGTCTGGAGTTCTGGTGCACGGACGTGAGGAGCATGGAAATGCTGGTGGAGCATCAAGCCCACGATATCCTAACATAGAAGACGTTGCACCGCCTGAGTGAATAACTCTTGCTGCTGCTGAAATTGGTGGTGCTCAGACCACTGACTCTGTACAGAATTATATTAAAAGGGGGCTAGGGGAGGTGGGGAAGAACTACTTTTTGACACTTGTACAGAGGAGTAAGTGGCCTTTACTGTGTAACCCTTTGGTGCTTAAATCAGGAATTCCCTGTGCACCGACAGTCTCCTAGCACTGACCATAGAAGCTTCTGCCCTACTGTCACCAAGGGGGAGATAAGGGCTCCATAACATGGTTGAATGTCTTAGTGTCAAACTGTTGCACTGCATGGTGCTGGTGGTGGCTACATGGTAGAGTCATTAGCCCAATGGTTGGGTGTTTCTGTCCTAAACTGTGCTAGACAGCGTGCAAATATGACGTCTATCAGGCATTGCTGATTTGGAATTGGACTGGGGAGAACACAAGGTTCTCTCCTCCCAACAGTTCAAAGGCAGCATTACCAAGACCCCTCCCTCTTCCCCCAGTTGCCAGTAGAGGGAGCTGCTCACTCCATCAATGGGTTTCCCAGGAATACGATAATAAATTTAGTGCATCTGGGTTTATATCCTTTTTGGGTTTATTCTTGTCTTTCATGAAACACTTTATTGTGAAGTGTGGTGCAGCAGTATTGCTGGAATAAACTTCTCTGCCTTCCCTTTTCTGCAGTTCTGTTCACATGCTCTCTTGTGCTAACTCTTGGGTTGTGTCCTGTTTAAAGGGGAGCTGAAATACTCTTTAAAATCTAACTGAATAACTTAAGATCTTATACTGCATGCGGCATAGTCTTCATTACCGATCAATACTGGGGATGTTAACATTTAATCAACTAATTGACTAGTCAATGGATTTTCCATCGACTAGTTGATTAGTTGTTAAGCGGGGGAGCCACAGAGGGGTTGGCCCGTGAGCTAACCCCACTGCGGCTCTGCCTTTTAAATGTATTAAGAGCTGACTGGCTCTTAGCAGC